TCTATCTACTTGCCCATCAATAATATCATTTTGTAATCCCACTCATGGGGCTGAAGGAAGATGGCAAGTCCATTTCTAGCCTTGGCAACTTATCAAGACCCTGTCTCAAGAATAACAACTAGGGCTGGGGTTGGGGCTCCGTGGCAGATCACTTATATCACAAGTGTGAGGCACTGCGTTCAATCCTCAGCACCACATAAAATAAATAGATAAAATAAAGGTATTGTGTCCATATACAACTAAAAAAATTAAAAAGAAAAGAATAAAAACTAAAAGGGCTGGGGATACAGCTCAGTGGTAAAGCATCCCTGGGTTCAATCCAAGAATCACCCACACTTAAAAGATGGAAAAGGATAAAAGTTGCATGAATCAAGGGAAGTAGTACAGAGGTGGTCTTCCAAACTATTCATAAAAACATGCAAAGTGAAAAAGTATTTCAGATCACTGGTCTGCCTATCCCTAAATCCTTCTCCTTTGCTCTACCATATCTATGAGTGGTTTCCATTTTATTAAACAAAGTAAGATTCTAATGGACTCCAATTGTCTCAGCTCCTGTAAGGGGACAGTAAAGGTGACAGAAGTACTATAGAAGCTTTAACCAATTTTCTCACTTTTGTGGGTGAGTTTCCAACAATAAAATCATTTAATATATATGCACGCCTCTTCCCACCCACTTTTACCCTGATACCCTGTGTTTCAGGTGTATCTTGTGAGATTTACCTATCCTTTTTCTGTAGTGAGGGTTAACTATAGACTCTCCCTCAACCCCTCTTTGAAAACAAACAAATGAGACAATCACTTCTCCGCCACTTCTCGAAGACCTTACCCTGAACCCAGGCCCATTGTGATTCCTTGATAGTGGATAAAATGCTCCAAGTTGCATCCACCTTCTGCAGAGCTCCTCTGTGACGTTTTCTTTATAACCACAGATGTTGGCACCTACCTGGAGAATCAGCACACAGACAAAAATGTTAATCATTGAGAGAGGTAAAAGCACTGACTGTGTGCTTCTATGATAAAGAAAAAGGAAATATCACATTGGCATTAGAGATTCCATAGTCCCAGGGCAGGACCACAGACAAATGAGAGAAACAAAGTGTGTATCACAGGATAGACTGAGCAGACTGACTGGTGACATTGATCATGGTCCCTATACAGAGGACTCTTCCTCAACATTCAGTTCCCAGTTTCATTCTTCCCTATTCACTGATGCTCTCCTGGTGGGATTTTTTTCTGTGATACTAATGCAGTTCACTCATGGTATCTCTTTCCCATCTCCAGAGACTCCATGGGTGACAATACAATGATCAATTTTAACGTCCTATCTTCAGAAGACAGCTTACACCACCCATAGAAATTTATTTTTTCCAATACATATCTCAAGAGACATGTGCTCCTTAGTTTTTCAAAGATCCTCAAAGACTGATGATGGAAGGAGTGTCCAAGGACAAAGGGTTGAAGTTCCTTGGCTAGGAATGAGGCTCACCATGGGGATGCCAAACAGGTTGAACTCAAGGATACCAGGGATGGACCATCGGAGATCATCCCATGTAGCCGCATTGTCCCCCAGCCAATGAGCAGCAAATTTACCAGATCCCGCGAAAGTAGAACGGGATAAGATGAAGCTCCTCTTATTGGAGAAGATAGTCTCCATGGCCCTGAAAAAGAATGCATTCAGTTGAGTGTGAGGTGAGTTGTGGGCATTTAGAACCCACATTGCCCCGTGGGAAGCAACAGGCTTTCCAACCAAACTGAAATAAAACCTCAGGATATCAAAAACTGGCGTGTAAGCAGACCAGCCTTTTTAAGGGCTCCTTTCCCACTTCTTTTTTAGTACTGGTGATTGAACTCAGAGCACTCGACCACTGAGCCGCATCCCCAACCCTATTTCTTATTTAGAGACAGGATCTCACTGGATTGCCCTGCACCTTGCTCTTGCCGAGGTGGACGTTGAACTCATGATCCTCCTGCCTCAGGCTCCCAAGCCACTGGGATTACAGGTGTGCACCACTGGACCCAGCTCCTTTCCCACTTCTGAGAAAGATTTTACATCTCATATAAGACTGTGAAAACCTCTGTCTTGTAACCCCAAAAGAATTTCTCCAGGTTCCTGTCCTCCTGACTATGCTTTCTCCATCTTGTTGGATGGGGCTTTGGTCCAAGCCCCTTGATTGACCATATATTGTAAGTGTGTGTTGGGTTGTTGGACCTGTCCTGTGTCTCCAGACAGTTTTTCTAACATCCCTGGATTCCATGCCTTGCTGCCCATGCACAATCTTGCGTAGCACAATGCCAGTTCAGGTTGGAACTCTGTCTTCACTTCCTCTTGGCATAGACTTGCAGACACTTCACTCTTTTTACCTTTGGCTGGAGGTTTATTGCACTCTGCAATTATTGATCATGGAAGAAACACATTCAACCCACTCAGATTGAAACTGAAACAGAGATGGACGTGGCTCAGGTTATGGTTAGAGGCAGGCCATTATGGTAACCCAGATTAGATAGCAGTCAGGTTCTTCCCGGCCAAGAAAAAGCCTCTTCGAGATCCTTAAGTTTCTCTTTCCCCTCCTCCAGGTATGGCCTTTTACAATCAGGTCATATCTCTGGGAAGATCTGATATTTTAGCCTAGAGGAATGTGAATTTCACTCCCCGGTAGCCCAGTAACCACTGTCCCCAAACTATCCTTCCAGTTAAGTTTGCATGAAATCTACATCAGACCTATGACTTTTCTTCTCCTGATGTACAGATCCCATTGAATAAAAATCTTGCCTCTTTTTAAATGTAACTCTGCCTCATGTCCAAAGGCCAAGTCCCATATATCTGCACTGTTCTCAGGGAATATAGGTGATCCTGCCCAACCCGGGAAATTAGAAAAGTCCCCTCTACTTTATCAGTCACAGTTACATTTTAACTATTAGTCATAATTATTCAAGTATATTAATCCACACATTCAAGATTTTATAGCACCTTTATCACATGAAGACATGGTCAATAAAGCAATTTGAAGCTTTCCTGACTCTTTCTGACCATTTAGTCACTTGCCTTCCCACCTCCCGTTCTTAAACAGAAGCATCTAAGAGTTGGAATATATCAGAACAGGGAGGGACTATTGGGAATATCGATTCAAATCTTTCATTTTAGAGATGAGAAAATTGAGTCTTACTCACTAGTTTATGTTCCAAGAGAGGTGGTATGAGAAAGAAAAAAAGTAAGAAAGAGAACATAACAAAATCAGAAATAAGTATCCTTCTTTTTGGAACTTTGCTTTCACTGAGAATCAAATTTGTGCATTTACTGGTCAAGAACTCTCTCCCCTGGACAATCCAGGGCACTGCAAAGTCCTAAAGACAGCATGGTGTTAGGAAACGGCAGACTCAGTCTCACCTCTAATTCATCAGGTCCCCTGTGTGTGCACCCTGCTCTTCCTTTTCTCATATATGTTCCACCAAAATATCCTCAAAGCTCATACTATTCACAAAACTAAAGATACAGAGGTTGGTTGCCCGCAAGGAATTTATTCAGCAGGAAAAAAGAAATGACCATCTAAAAATTATGATATAATATTGTTGCATAATAACCATATTGCAATATGTGACAATGTAGTACAAAAGAGGAGGAAGAGCATTTTCATAGAAATGTTGTACATCTGAGGTGAGATATTATAGATACGTATGTGTTCACAAAATGGATAGGACAAGGAAGGCCGTCTTGTGCTGTGCAAGCACCACATGGAAAAATGCATAGCATTCAGAGTTGGGAAAAACAAGCAGCAATATATTCCATAGCATAAAGTATGAGTGCAAAGAATGCAAAAAAAAATTAGACTATGATGGACCTTACAGGTTGTACTAGGGATTGGATTTTATCAAACAAATGGTTCGATCCTCAGCACCACATACAAACAAAGATGTTGTGCCCAACGAAAACTAAAAAATAAAAGATTAAAATTCTCTCTCTCTCTCTCTCTCTCTCTCTCTCTCTCTCTCTCTCTCTCTTTAAAAAAAAAGAAAAAAGAAAAAAACGAAGATTTTGATTCCCAAGTTCTAGCTTGAGGTCTGAGATGTGGCACATTCAGTACATCCCCGTTGATGCTGACATTGCTGGTCCTTGGATCACACTCTAGAGAGGGCAGAGGATAATTTACTAGAGATAAGGATTAAGTCAAGGAGAGTGGTCATAGGTCAAGTGGAATGATCTACATGAGAGATGATGATGACCTCAGTTAAGAAGTGGCTGTGGGATAAAATGGGACATGGTTATGGTAGTGTTTCAAAAGTAGAATAGAAAGATCAAGAGCTGATTTGATTTCTTCTGAGGGCATTAGAAAAAGGATGATGCCAAGTTTCTCACTTGAGAGTCTGGAGATAAGGATGGTGTTGCTACCAATCAAGATAGGGAATTCAAGAGTTTCAAAAATGATTAGCCAGAGTGTGGAAGAAAGCCAGGTGAATGGTGTGAGAAGTACTATAAGATATACAAGTAGAGAAGGTCAGAAGGTAGTTTTGGATATTTGTGTCTGAAAATCAAGGAGGAATCTCATAAAGAACTATAGATTGTAAAAAGTAAAGCAAAAACCATTGAAAGGTATAAATTCCCTGTGCTAGCAGAGAATGGAAAGAGAAGTCTGAGGATTGATCTCTAAGACTCATTCCTGAAAGAGTAGACAGAAAATATCCAGATAAATGCAGACACGGATGTGAGAAGGAATAGCAGGAAAGAGAGAGATGCCAGCTAGAGTTGTGTCTCAAGAACTAACACAACAGGTTCAAAGGAGAAGTTGTGACTTCAAGTGTCACAGACACAGAAAAGTTGAGTGAAGCAAATAAAGGCTGAGACATGTCCCATGAGCACATCAAAGTCCCCTCCCCTTTCTCCCCACAATAGCGTTGAGAAATACCAGACCAAGAGACAACAAGAGGAAGACTGAGACTTTAGCTTTTCCCTGAGCCACTGGAAGATCTCCAACAGCCCTTCCAGCATTTTGGTTTCCCTATCTCTGCTGAAAATCTAAAATTAAAGTTTTTTTAAGTTGAACCCCAAATTTCTTGCTGTCTGGGTATAATGATTATATTTCATCATCTTCAAAGGAGAAATTGGGTGGAGTAAAAGTGGCTATTTATCAGTTTGCAAAGTTATCCTTAATAAAATTCATGTGGCAAAGTGGGTGAAGGATGGAATGCTTTACAGAACACACCTGTCTCCTTAACAGACTTTCATAATGGGTGGTGCTGATGGTGCTGATGTGGTGGTGGTGATGGTAGTGGTTGTGGTGGTGTGGACATTATGTGTGTGTGTCTGTTCAGATAAGTTCAGGTAAGTCTGAACTTCACATAAACAATATTTCAGTATGCTCTGTAAAATCTTGTTACCCTGTATTTTTATTAGCTAAAATCAATCCCTGATCCATAAGGCAATCCAGATTAATCTTATACAGAAACCAAAGGTTTGTAGGAGAGAACTTCTTAAGTACCCAGCTAGACCAGTTTCTATATACTTATATTCAAAACAATATTTGAACAATATACTTATGGAGCACAAGAGAAATCCTCCACCTCCCACTTCCCCAAATCTGGAATGAGGGAGAAAATCGAGTTCTTACGAGTGTGTGGCTCTTGCCATGGAGTGGCCATACAAGCTGTGGACGTCATAGTGAAGACCCCAGTAAAACTCTGTGTCCATGCAGAGAGTTCTTGCAAACAGTAAGTGGTCTAGAATACCTGGGGGGAAAACACCCATCAGTAAGGCAAGTCTCCATCAATCAACTTTAACAAAATAGTCACCCAATGTTTTTCTTCCTGGTTGCTGTAACTTCCCCACCAATTTCCACCTGACAGAGTCCTGTGCAGATCTTAAATTCTATCCTAAATACCACTTTCTAATGGGAGCCTACACTGACCATCCAGAAGTCATTAAAGATAATTTGCGTTCCCCTGAGCTCATAAAGGATGGTGTTAAGTGGAGGTAGCTGGAAACCCTGCTCAGAGCAATATGCGGTTGATCTGAGATTAAACATATAGCACACGCTGTTTATCTGCAGAGACTCAGTCAAGGAGAGTTGAGTGTAAATATACTGGTATGAGTGCCCCAGTCACATTTTAAAAACAAAAAGCTAGATATGGCACTTGGGTGGTTTCATGACTAAAAGCCAAATCCTGGCTCTGAGAATCTCCATTGTTACTGTATTTTCCCTTTCCCAAGCCTAAAATGGTCAGCCTTTACTGTGTCATGGCCTGCAATCTCTATCTTCCCTTTCTTCTCCTTATGGACCCACACTTAGGACTGTGTTTATCTTCCTTTATGAAGTCTTCATCATATATAGGGCCTTAGTATGAGGTACAACTTCAGAAAGTGATGGAACAAGGACTGACTGAGGTTAAGATTTTCCCACCAACCTATCACAAGATTTTGAGTCAGATATTAAATTGGGTTATAAAATATTTTAAAAATTCATATTTCTTGCCCAGCTTGGATTGTAAAATGAGATAAACAACCACTATAGTAATAAAAAAAAGGAGACTAGAATTTTTCTAGGCTGAAATCTTGTTGCATCTGTATCTTTATCATGCCAATATGTGCTGCATAACCATGAAAAGGAAAATGACTGATCATATTGTGAGTAGACAAAATGCCAAGGGGTAGGAAGTGGGGTGCTTGCCAGAGCAAACAGAAGGTGATACTTTGAGGTTTTAAGTAAGGGAAAAACAATATCTATGACCAAGAAGATTAAGAGGTTAGGGGGAAAAAATTAAGAAGCTGATCCACAGTGGAAAAAAAAGGTGTGTGTGTGTGTGTGTGGAGGGGTGGGCAATACAGACCAAGCAGAAAAGAGTAAAGAAGAATTTAGGGAAGCAAAGAATAGATTTTACAGTAGGTTAAATGGTTTGACATCAAGACTCTCCTCACCTCAAAATTCTTTACTCCTTCAGTGATCAAAGGGAACCAAGAAGGAGATCAGCCTATCAGCCTTGAGCTCACTTTAGTTAGTAGCTCAGAGGGTCCACCACTGTGACCAAAATATCTGATGAGAACAACTCAGAGGAGGAAAGATTTTTCCCTGGCCCATGGTGTCGTAGGTTTACATCCATGGTCAGATGGTCCCACTCCTTTGGGCCTGAGGTGAGGCATAATATCACGGTAGTAGAGTATGGTGAGGGAAAGCTCATGGCAGCCAGGAAGTGAGAGGGCAAGGGGGCTGGGGAAAAGATAAGCCCCTCCAGGGCATGCCCTCAGGAACCTACTTCTTCCAACTAGGTCCCACTTCCCACTAGTTCACGAAGTCATGGATGGATTGATCCATTTGGTGGATTAAATGGATTAATACACTGATGCTAGAGCCCACATGAACCAATTATGACCTAGAAGCTCCACCTCTGAAACCTGTTGCACTGAGGACTCTGCACTCAACCTGTGATCTTTGGGGTCATTTTAGATCCAAACCATAGCAGCAGGCATGTATGTAGGGTATTCAAAGCAAGATCAATTGGCAGAGGCTGTCCAGATGTCCACCCAGCCAATGTTTTCTTCCAGGAATGTGAGGAGATTGTACTTGAAGATTAGACCTCCCCTTGAAGTTAAGCTGAGGCTGGGAGCAGATTCTAGAAAAGGAATTTGGGTAAATAGGGTAGTCCCCATTTCCAGGTCCACCCATAATATTCCCTCCACCCTTTCTCCTCTTTGCCCTTGAACTTGGAAACAAAAGCCTCTGAGATAAGAAAAACAGACAATGGAGGAAACTAGATCTCTGAATCACCGCTTGGATCAAACCATCCATCCTCACTAGAGTATGATGTCAGTGAAAAACAAAATTTATTGATTAATACGTGGAGATAATGGGATTTCTTTGTTTTCACAGCATTCTGTATACTGCTCACCCCCACCTAAAACCCAGGTATGTGCGCACACACACACACACACACATACACACACACATTCTTTCAAAAGGATACCATGGCAGAAGAGTGTGTTGAAGGAAATGAGTCCTATAACTAGAACCTTTAGGAAACCACTGATGTCTTAAGCTGTTGCTAATGGTGTGGGGAGGGTGGAAAAAGGAAGGGAGAAAGAGATAAAGAGAGGAAGGGAGGAGGGAAGGAAAAAAAGAAAGGGGGGATATTAACAAAATTACAGCTTTACTTCAGTGTAAGGCAGTTTGTGCTTGGAGAGTTCTAAACCTCTCACAAAGCCTGAAATGGTACCAGCTAATGGATGAAAAAATCTGGAACTCTGGGGTAGAAGGATTGCCAGGGTAGGGACCAGGCTCAGACAACACTTTTCACCACCTATTACCCTTGGCTTGTGGCAGTGAAAAGGTAACTGGAGACAAAGCAATGCCACCAAGACACAAGTGGAAGAGTGGTTGGGAAGTCTGGGGATCCACTGGACCAGAGGGAATTTCTATGACCACACGGAGTGTTAATGAGGCTATTTTAAACACATTTCGTGTTTGCAGCTTTAGCAAACAGGCACACACTCACCAGGAGTAAAAGGTGGGAAGTTCAAGCTGTTTGATTCACACGTATGACCAGAATCTTGGAGAAAGCTAGTTACTTCATCCATTTCCTTCAAAGACACAAAACACACAAAATGGGCAATGTTATTGATTTATAATTAGCTATGAGGAGATGCAGAATGAGAAACCAGGATATCTGGGGGTTCTCTATGATCTGGTTCTTGGATTTTGAAAAATCTCCCCAACTTTTCTTGGCCTCTGTTATATCTTTTGTAAAATTAAGTCATTGGATTAGGTCCTCTCTCAGGACAGTCCAGTTCTGATGACATTGGCTGGATTTAGCTTTGTATTAGTTTATTTCAAACTATTGATTAAGAAATGTCATTTCAAAGGCTGTCCCTAGCCTTATAAATTGTGAAGATTTCACTATTGATGTTATGTTTTACTACGCTTAAAGAATAAAAATAGGCTAACACTTCTGTGCTATAATTTTCCCTGTTTTTTTTTTACTCCACTGTGCAAGGAATAATGAGAGAATATAATTGAGCTCAAATCTATTTCTTTAAAATGAATTAAAAATAAGCAATGTCTAATATCACTATCATATCAGATGTTTTCAAGTTTCAAATAAATGTCCCCACTGTTCTTTAATAAAAAACACAGGGCCTCATTCTATTATTTTCTAGCGATTAAATTTTTATGGGCCAGTGCTACAATTCTTAGAAATCACAACCTTTAATAAAATAGTCTTTTTTAAGCTGAAAAGACAGTAAATGGAGGAAAACAACAAAGCCATGAGAAAACACTGTTTTTACCCCAATGAAGTAACCAGATAGTGGCTAATTCAGAATAAGAACAGAGTTCTGAGGAGTCTGATTCAATACGTATGTGGTCATCATCAAGTAAAAGAATCATGAACCCCAGTATGTCAAGCAAACTATTTTATTATAGATCAGGATAGAAATTCATATGAAAATTTGGTATGCCACTTTCCAAAGGAAATTTGGGTCTAAAACAATAACTTACAATCCACACTCCATCAAAGTTCAGACTTTTGTTGTGAAACTCAGTGACCTGTTGCGTCCACCACTGGGTACACACTGGATTGCTGAAGTCAGGAAAGACAGTTGGACCAGGGTATCCCTAGAGATCAAAGAGGGAGAATGGTCAATTTATGTGCTGTTCAGTGATTCATTGCTTATTGGCTACTATTTATTTTACTAGAAAACCCACATTGCCTTACTTTTAGAATTAAAATTTGTTATTTCTCCTAGTGCCCATTAAACCAAAAAATGCATACAAGTTGCCAGAGGAAGAAAAAAGGAAAGGAAAAATGACCAATTAAGTGAAAATCCATCATATGACTTTTTGTAAAAAAAAAAAAAAAAAGTAAAATTTCATGATGTCAGGCCAACTGGGAGATAAACCAATAAAAGTACTATAGGATATTTTTAAAGAGAATAATTGAATATGTTTAATGTATTATTAATTAAAGGTTATATTAAACCCTTTGTATAATTTTGTTATAAATAATATTCTAATTTTTGCATAGAAACAATATTTTATAAACAGTTGAGTAAAGTTTATGCCTCTTATTCCTGACAAATATTCCTAATCCTATCTCTGTTTTAGCTACATCTATTTGAAAGCAGCTTTAAGTGTCTTCCATGGAAGGCAAAAAGATATAACCATAGCTAAATTACTGAACATTCTGATTTAATAGGTTCCAAACTTTTTTTTGCAACATCCTTGCTGATTTTCCCACTACATTTATTTGTTGGCAATTAGGAACAATTTAAACTCACGCAGCATAATGAATATATATATATAAAAGTGTAAAGAATTCTTCATACACAAGGTAGGCGATGGAAATACCCACTTTCAGTGGATTGAGCTCTTGGACTTTTGTTGCAGGTGATGGAAACCAAGTAATAATTTCAGATAATTTTGGACTCCAGGAAGCAAGTAGTTTGGCAGAGCAACAACCAACAGAAGCCTTGAGTGGAGATCAGGCCAAGTGAGCTCCATTCTAAACAAGGGCATGGGTAGCCACCTCTACCCACTTCTACCTCCACTGCCTCAGCCAACTCATGTAAATTACCAGTCAATGAAAAGAATCTAGTGAGCAGAGTGAAGAAGGGGCCATCAATAACTCTTGAGAAGACAATTTTACAAAGTCAACTACTCAGAAAAAGCAGGAACTGCCTTCACGTGAACTTTCGAGAGTTCTGACTTTAATAACTCTCAGATAATCCAATCACCTGGGGTTGACAACCACATAACTGGATAAAAGTCACATCATGATTTGACTTAAAGTACATTCTCTCAGAAAGTCAGATGTCTTTAAAATAGGCTCCTGAGGAGTCATTCTATTTCAATTCCTGCAACTACTACCTTAGAATAAAGCCTGGGCTTTATGTAGAAGCTTGGTAAAAATTAATATACTACCTGAGATAGGTTCCACATTAACCTGTAAGCACAATGATCTATTGTTGTAGTTGAATTTATTATTTTGGGAAAGAGGTAGAAATTGGAGGCAGGAAGACTTCAAGTAACTGAATTGTTTTTTGTAATGATACATTGCTTCTTAATTATCAGTGATATTTATGCATCAGCTAGCATTTTACGTCTTTCAGAATTTTAATCATTTTATTAGTACATGTATTGGTTTAAAAGTAGTGATGATGGAAACCTTTAAAGCCATTAAAAAAATAAGCAATAGTGTAGCTGGACTTTTACCCATTACCAAAAATACCAGTTCCCCAAAACTAACTATAATTTACTCTTTCATTAGAAATTACCTCCCCAACAGCAAAGTCATTGTTCTCCAAGATCCATACTCTCTTTAGTCTTCCATCTTTATATGTATTGTAGTTAGGATCTTTCAGGATACCAGGATTCTAATAAAGAAATAAGATATAAATATTATTTTTATAAATTTCCTTTGCATTTTGAAAGAAAATACTAGGCAATAGGTAAGTGTTTGACATACCATAATAATTATATATTTTTGGCCATTGTCATGTAACCTCTTGGCAAAACCTGAGAGATCAGGGTAAGCCTTTTCATCAATAGTGAAATCCTTCTTTCCATCCATGTAGTCTATATCAGAGTACTGGACATCCTGAAAGGTAACACTGGCCAATTAGAACTTAGGAAATACCACCAAGCTGATGGGAAGGAAATCAGCTCTAGTTTCCAATCATGGGAACCAAAGCTGAGGGAGATACAGAAGGGCTTAGGCAGCCAGGCAAAGATGGGGAGTGCAGAGGTCAGGGGCAGAGCCAGAACAAAGGAGCATGAGAGGGTCTTCGGATGACATCAGCTTCCTAACTTGACAAAAGTACTCATGGACCCAAGTTGGGGGACCCAATCAGACACCTCTTCACTCATGCTCTTAAGCAGGGGATCCAATGGAAAAACTAAAACAGATGTGTAGACAGAGGGGGCACTAGTCAATAATAGTGAGGAGAGCATGGACAGGAAAGGAGATAGGGAAGGAGGAAATTCCAGAGACCATAAAAGAACAGTCCAAAACTCCCCCACCTGATTCCTGTCATTTTTGCAATAAACCTACTTCTTTCTTACTACCTCTGTGTTCTGTCTTTCAATTCCCTGCTGAACAGAGACAATGAATCCAGTATCCCTAGATGGTAACAAAGCCATGTTTCTTAATAATCCTGGATCTTCCAGGTTTTGGCTAACTCCTAGAAGTGAATATGTCCTTCCAGAAAGAGGCAGCTGCTTTTAGGTTCCAGTTTTATTTTCTCATCCTGATAGAGGCATGCCATAAGGCATTGGAAGGAGTTGAAAGTAGGAACTGCATTTTGTTCAGCTCGGTAACCCATGAGCTTGAATACTTGACATGTCACAGGTGCTCTTGAAATGTTTGTTAATGAATATATTAGGAATGTTATAACCAACCGTGATGATGGATGATGCAGCATGCAAATTTCTGACAGTGGGTCTGCCTCTCTATCAGCCATTTTTATATCATTTCCTAATAGGCTGAATTTCATGCAAAAAATTAAAGATGGGGTCAAATACATGATAAGAGACGTGCCAACTTACATAGGGGATCCCAGCTTTACGAGTTCGGTCTACAACCTCTTCCAACCCATTGATGCCACCATAATCCCTGCGACTTAACTGGAACCCAAGATTCCAGTAGGAAGGCAAGAATGGTCGTCCAACAAGCTGGAAAGAGAAGTAAAGCAGTGTCTAAGCCTCACAATAAACATTTGGTAGTGCCAAGTTCAAGAACGGATGCATTAGCTCCATTTCATTTTCTCTAAAGTCCTCAGATCCTAAAATGTCAGAGCCAAGAGCAATCTCCTAATGCTAATCTGCAAAATTCCACAGCTCATATCTTTTTTCACTTAAGCATCTAAATGTATTCCCAATTATAGCAAATTCAAAAAATGATAGGATTTTCAGAAAATGTTTGCCTAATGGTGTCATCTTTGGGGGAAAGCAATTAGTAGTCCTTCAATCCATAAATATTTCATCAGAGTTTATAATGTGGTAGGGGCTAGTGTGAGCACTGAGACTATAATGTCACAAAGCAAGCCTAGTTTCTGCCCTCACAGAGTTCAAAGGAGATAAATGTGTCAGATGTGATGTCAGATAGTAGTGTATACTAAGGTAAAAAAAAAAAATAAGGATTGATGAGATGAGGAGCAGGTGGATGAAGAAATACTGAAATATGATTAAAATCCAACTTTCCAAGTTGTTCCAGTCAACACTGAGATTAGTAATGCCATAAATAGGAAGCATCTTTCTCTCTTCCATGGGAAAGACTAGGTCTTAGGAAGTTGCTTTTATAGAAAAGACTTCTATGTTGAGATCACTGTCTAACAGAAGCATGCTGAACTCAACAATACTTCTATTGAATGTGGAACTAGAAAATTATTAACCTGTCTCACACTATTACCTGAAAGTCCCTGCCTTCTAACATAGGTAGGCTTTCTCTCATACCTTTGAATTCCTGCACAATTTATTTGCACCTCATTCACAGAATATATTATAAGGTGCTCCTTATTATAATTATTTCAGGCTGTATGTATCATATTCTCTTATTTGATTATAAATTCAGTGGCATCTGGGAACCATATTTTCGTACCTTTACAAGCCATCCTGTGCAAATCACTTTATCTTTCCATGTCTGAGTTTTTCCATATGGATAGTATCTATAGTTCCTTCCTATCCTATAATGTGAATCAAATATGAATAGCAAGCAAAGTTTCTTTTACATATGACTTTCCACTGAATTTTTATATGTGGAATTGGATACACTTCACTTTTATCCTTTGGTCTCTGGAGTGATTGATGGCTCAACCTGGATAGACGATGAGTGCCTTGAGTGCAGGATGCTGACTTATTTTTGCATTTTTCAAGTCTAGCATAGTGCCTTTTTAACATGCAGAAAACATCCAATAAGTGTGATCAAAATAAGAAAATAAGCAATAAAAGACTGCAACCCCAGTGTTTACAATCCATCCCGTCTACTAATAACCCTTATTTTCCTCTTGATGATCTAAACCAGCATATGAGGCAATAGCAACAAATAACAACTCTAAATGCCAAGTCGTACCTCCAGGTATTCCTGAACCACTTGCTCTGGAGTGTTTCCCAGGAACACATAGAAGTCAAGAATGCCCCCAATGGTGCGGTAAGTGACTGCTGGGGCAGGCTGAAGAGCGACCTCTGAGAGAATTAAAGTGAGAGTTATTAGAATTGAGTATATACTTTTCTCTGGGGTATGAATAGCTGAGTCATCCAAAATAATCTCAATAGAAATCATATATGCTCATTTTACTAGAGGATTGTTGAAATTTATTAATCTATCAAGTTACTAAAATAGCAAGGAAGAATTAAGTTTTGTTTAAGAGAAGGAAAAACAAACTCTATTTTAATTTGGCCATATAAAAATATCAAACTTCTGGGTTTTGTGAGCGGCTCTGCTTGAAGAAAATGTTGTGAAAATCTTATTGGGTAAGTTTGACTATAATTAAAAATGTAAAAATAACCAAAATGCGTATTAATTCACCACTAATCCAGAACACAGAGGGGAAGATTATGGGTAAGTTAGGGGCAAGCTATGAGAAACCACCCTTAAAATGCAACCTGTCGCCTGCAGACAGACAGCATGGCACATGTTGAAATCTGCAAGTTTTCTTGGAATGTGTCTATCAATGGTTGTTGTTATCTACAGACAATCAAAAGGAAACATTCCATAAAGAAAATCCCTGAAGCAGTTTTCAATGAAAATGGCTTTTAAGGATGAGCTGGATTTGTAGGCAGATTAATATACTTTCAAGTCTCAGTTTCAATAGAAGTATCATTAAGATCACGATGTCTCTGTCAAACAGTGATCTCAACATACAGTCATTTTTAAAAAAGCAGCATCCTAAGACTTACTCCTACCCATAGAAGAGAGAAAGATGCTTCCTACCCATGGCATTACTGTTCATCAGAAAAACTCCAAAAGAGGAACCACTGGTGTCTTCAAGGCACAAGAAGAATGTATGTGCTCCATACAGGTTAATCATGCCCTGTCAGCAGGAAAGGGAGAGAGAAGTAATGGTATTATATGTTCAAAATGAGTACTTGCCCTACATTAAAACCAGAAGCCATGTGGACACGTGCTTGGTCAATACTTAATGCAGAGTGGTATTGTACCAAAAAGCTGTTGGAATGGCATCATCAACTAACAAATGGAGAAACAAAATATGGTATACCTGTACCATTTGTACCATACACAGTGGTAGGATGAAACACTGACACATACTGCAAAATAATGCTTAGTAAAATAGACACAAAGGACCATATTGCACAATTTTGTTGATATGAAATGTCTAGAAAAATTTAAAAAATCAAATCTGTAGCCAGCAGATTAGGGATGGCCTGGGATTAGTGTGGATGCCAGGATACGAACTGGGCTTGACTCTAAAAGGACATGAAGGATCCTGTAGGGGTGATGGAAATGTTCTAAAACTGGATCATGATGATTGTACAATTCATTAAATGTGATAAAACTTACTAACTTGTACTTTGAATAGGTAAACTTTATGGAATATAAATTAAACCTCAATCAAGATTCTTTTATATAAAATCTGCTATGATCTATACCAAATTTTAACAGGATGAAATGGTGTTATGAGCCATTATGAATTTCTTATAAATGCCCAATTGTTTTTTAATATTTCTAAAATAATATGTAATTCTGAGGTTGTAACAATTAAAAAAAATAAAAGAGACTGAGGTACTGAATCTTGACAGAAAGGGTGGTGATGAGAGCTGATATAAAAACAGATAATGTTTACATGTATAACTGTGCTATAAAAGGAATAATGTTGAGATTATAATATGCATAAAGTTTTACAGACATTCTTTGTGTGATAATGTCACAAATCTTAGCCCCTAGTATGAGGCAATAGTACTAATAATGGTAAAAAGAAAAAGAAAGAAAACCAGTATGATTTGCTAAATAGAGAGGATCAATAGGACGATGAAGGCTGATAGCATCAACATGTGGAGAGAATACAGATTACATTTTTTAAAAATTTTGAAGCAAGTAAAAAGTGATTTTTTAGAAGAAAAAAGAAAAGGAAAAAGAGAGATAGGGAAGGCTGGAAGGAGGGGGGAAAGCCAGAGGAGGGAAGAAAAGGAGAGAGAGAAATAGGAAGAGAGGGAGGCCACGAGGGAGGGAAGGAGGGGGAGTCGTGTGTAGGAAAGCACACATTTCATTTAATCTGTAACTAAATAATTTAAGAATTTCATCCGGGCACGGAGGTGCATGTCTGTAATCTCAGTGACTCGGGAAGATAAAGCAGGAGGATCACAAGCTTGAGGCTCAGCAATTCAGCAAGGCCCTAAGCAATTTAGCAAACCCTGTCTCAAAATAAAAAGTCCTAGGAATGTGGCTCAGTGGCTAAGCACCCCTGGGTTCAATCCCGTGTACAAAAAAAAAAAAAAAAAAAAAAAAATTGCAGCTGTAGAAAGTCAAATTTGGCACAATGCTCAGGGTATCAGTGTATTTGACCAAACGTTTGAGTCGATGTGTCAAGTGTCAACCACTGATTTTTCCTCTCTGTTCAGTTCAGTAAGAGTACTGCTTCCATTGCATCACATATGGGCAGATGGTCTGCAAGTTGATGAGCTACTTGATGTGTTCATCTCTTGCAAATATAAACTGCGAAACATCAGCCCAAGCACCCTATGCCAAACTTCCACCTGCATGCAGCTCTTGCCCAGACCTCAGGACCACCATCAGCACAAGGGAGGCTTCAACACCACCTCCATTCACCACTGCTTCTCACTATTGTCCAAGCTCTGGCACCTTACCAAGATTAATACAAAAATAAAAATGAGTGTTTAGAAAGTCTTTTTCAGAGATTTAAGAGTAATTTTATGGCCAGGCCCAGTATCACATGCCTGTAATCGTAGCACCTCAGGAGGCTAAGACAGGAGGATCTTGAATTCAAAGCCAAAGCAAGGCACTAAGCAACTCATTGAAACCTTGTCTCTAAATACAACACAAAATAGGGCTGGGGGTGTGGCTCAGTGGTTGAGTGCCCCTAAGTTTAATCCCTGCCCCCCCTGCCCTCTAAAAAGAATAATATTATGTCTGTTCAATTTAAAATTCAGGCTTATAATTTTTATATCTTTGGAAATTTTTATTTCATTTTCCAAAAATGCTTTAAATTGTGTTTTTACAAATGTGTTTCCCTTGTTGGTTTAACAACAACAAAAGAAAAAGAAAGTAAACCTTCACTCCAGGTAACTTGAGAAACACTATTTTAGAATGACCCTTCTCCCACTTCACTATGGGTGTGATTCTCCAGGGATCTTATTCACATGCCCATTCAGATTCAATGGGTCTCCTGGTCTTTATGGCCTGAAGCTCTACATTTCAAACAACCTGCAAGGTGATGCCAACACTGCTGTCTCTGGAACACACCTTCACTAGCAACACAGAAGCTGTCAAGAGAGACATTTTTTTATTCACAAGTTCTTACTAAGAATGGCCCCTGCTGAAGTTCTTCTTTAGATATTAAATTCTTAAAGCTAGGCAGTTGCAAAGGTATTTTTCCATATAGGGTGAGCTCTAATACAATCATTAAATTGCATTTTCCATTAAAAGTAAAATTTTTAATTGCACTAATTTCTAATCGTGTCTTTATAACCTCATGAACAGGTATTCCTCAACACAAACACATCTAAACTGAACAAGACAAGATATAGCTGTCTCTGTAGACCATTTTTAGGGGAGGAAGGAGAACATCCCTGACTGTGAGCAATGACCAGGCAGAAGGGGACCTCACCGCGGTGGGGGCGGCATCCCGGGTGAAGATGGGCCAGGTCTTCCAGGACATGTCGTGGCGGTACTGTTGATGCACGTGCTCCCCCAGCCCATACACATTGGTGCTGGGAAGTCGGAAAGACAGCTGCAGGAACTGCTGGGCAAACTGGAGGGGCCCAATGCTTGTGTCCAACCTAGGCCATACAGGGAAAGTGAGACTCGCTGAAGCTCCCGCTTCTCTCTGCCAAGAAGCTATTTGTTCCTTTCCACATAGCTCAGAGATCAGTTGCTTTAGGCGTTATCAACTCCCATGCTACCTTGGAGACCTTTCTAGGGCATTTCTATTTCTTTGAATCTAATGGAACATAGTGATGGGACACCAGGGGCTCAGGTTGGACCATTGGGCAAAGAGAAGAAATGTGACCTTACATTTCTGTGCACCTGCTGCATGACAGATGCTACTCTGGATACTTTATAAATATTATCTCATTTCCCTTAGCAAAAGTGGATATTTTGGTCCTCTTTATGGACAAGGAAACTGATGCTGATGAGATTTTCTGCCTTCTGTCAGATGGCTGACTGGTTTTCCAGTGCAAGGATTTGAATACAAGTTTTACTGACATTGGTTCTTAAATATTCTCCAGTTTAGCTGTGATGTACCCTCAAAATGTTGGTAGTTGCTTGATAATGAGATTCACAGGAAATAATACTTTGGAATGATAAACAATGAAGTTCAAGTTCCAGTATGAATAATGATCCAAAATAATAAAATTCCCTATTTCATAATACAAGTAAACCATAAACATATATATATATATATATTTATATATCATGTAACTCAGCAAACTAATGCATTGTATTTTAGTATTCTTTGCTCTATGGTCATGTTAGATTTCCATTCTTAATTAGTTAGAGTAATTCTGCAGATTTTTGAAGTTCAAGCATATTTCTAGGCCATAGTCATTTTACTATGTCAAAATAATTGATATTGGGTCACTATCTTCAAAGATGTACAAAGAGTATCAAAAAAGCTCACAGGACTCTTTTGTTGCTCTTCCTCATTATTCTGATGCTAAAGGGATTATCAGTGACTTCTACATGGTAGCTCAAACTGGAGATATCAGCAGTGTCATTAAGTAAATTGATGTTTTCAGAAGGGACTTCATAGCGGATCGCATTGAAATCAGTTATCTGTCAGAAGAAAAACAGAAAGGACAGTTCAAGGTAAGACTACTTCCTTGTAGAACTACAGAAGACATTGCCTCTCAAACAGCTCTCCATGAGAATAGCCTCTAACTCCCGACTCTGTGGTTCCTGGTTTGTGAGAAGAAATCACCCAATCACACATGCCCTGTCAAATACAATTTAGCCTTCACACCCCATGCAAAGATTCCTACAGAGAGGAATGGAGGTGCCTTCTGTCTCTGCACCTTGCATGGTGTGTGATGAGGAAGGAGTGGACCCACGGTGGAGCACTGCTTTCTTCAGGAATGCGTTCAATGCTAACTCCCAAACCAACCTTAAAACGAAAACGATTGGCTGTCTGAAATTCAGCTGTGAGGATGGCATTGGTGACATCATCTCCAAACAGAGACGGGGACGGCAACTTTCTCAACTGGGCAGTAAACCCTAGGGTGGGAAATGAAGAGCAAGAAAGAGGCTTTTAGCTTTTATGTTTCGCAGTTATCTGGACCATAAAGAGTTGTTCTCTGGGGCCACATCAGGACAGTGCTTACCTGTGCTTGTATTTGTTGGGGCCCTGATGACTTCATAGCCCCAGTTTCTGGGGAAGAAGCACCTAGGGACATTGGTCTCTGCTGCAGAATTCCAGCAGCATTTATATTGCCATCTGCAAGTTTCCTGTAAAAATAACAAAGAGTTGGCATTATAAAAAATGAAAGAATGAGAGTAATATTTGCCTATTCATTTATAAAATCTCTTATTCTAAAGAGAATGTAAGATACATCATGATTCATTCACTTATTTATTCTTTACTCACTTATACAGTTATCCAATGTTGATTTCTCCTAGACAAGAAACTCTTACCAGATAAATAAGATTAAAAGTTTGTGCCTCCAGAAAACTTACAGTCTAGTGGTAACTCAAGACAATTAAAAATAGCAATGAGTTGAGTGTTCCAATAGGGTTTTCTTAGGAGCTGAGCAGTAGGCTGAGAGTAGAGTGGGAATGGCTTATCAATAGTACAAAGTTAAATCCAGTCCTACAACACCAGAAGGAGTTAGACAGGCGAAGAGCAGAGTGTTACTCCAAGCAGAGAAAGCAGAAATGCATGATAGATGGAAAACCCACAAATAAATTGTACCAAGAACATTGAGTAAGAACAGTGAGTACAGGAAGATCAAGGGAAGCTAGCACACTAAACTATCAGCCTACTCCAGGAAGAGGACTTGGAGACAGAAAACATTGTGTAACCGATGTGAATCTGCAATATGTATATAGGGTAAAAATGGGAGTTCATAATCCGCTTGTATCAAATGTATGAAATATGATATGTCAAGAACTTTGTAATGTTTTGAACAACTAATAATAAAAAATAGTGAAAAAAAGTTAAAAAAAGAACTTCCCTGCTATATTCTGTCCATAAATATAATGTCTGAGTCTTTCTCAGTAAAGGAATGTATTCAGTTTAGATTGTTCTATTTAAAAAAAAAAGAGTATGTCATAACACTATTCATTTGAAAAAGGTAAACCTACACATATTTTAAATGCCAACATCTGAATTGCTCTGAAAGGCCATGATACAAATATAATTTAAATCAACACTTCACACTATTATGAAAAAGCAATCATGTTATTACCATACAATCATTTTAAGTACTTATTAATTCTCCATACATAACATTGGTATTTTTGCCTCATTCTTTTCAGTTAAAAAAATGGCTGAGGATATCAATGGAGACAAAATTTAGGGTTGGATAACTGATTCCCCTAAGACTGAGACAGATGGAACACCTTAGCCACCCAGAAACTGAAGTCTGTAAAGTACAAAAGGTTAGTTTCATTGCCATAAATTGTTTCAAGGTCTATAAACCTCATAAAAAGCAATGAACACTCAGATAATGTTTTGTGTGTAATCTGCTCTAATATCCTTCTGTCAGTCCCAGACACCAAAGGTCAAACCATGGGGACAATTATTTTCCAATCCTTCAAACTCCATATTTCTTCCTCATTTATTTGGGGAGAGAGATGGAAGCAATATCACTCTCTTTAATTTCCATGGACACGGCATCAAGAGACTGTCATAAATTCAGCCTTCCCTACTGTGTTAGCTCAAAAGTCTCCTTGTCTCTCTATTATTGCCTTAACACCAAATATTCCTAAAGAATATTCTCCAGCTGTCTTCCAAGTAGAGGTCATGTTATATTTCAATCAGACATCATTGACTAATAGAATTTAACAATTGGAAATTGACTTGGAATTATAGAGTCCAACTTCTTTCTGATGCAAGCATTTCTTCGGGAGAGTCTCTGATAGATCCTGAAGCTATGTGAATGATGGATTGCCAACTTCTGGAATCAGGAAAGCTCACTTTTGTATTTAGTATTTTACTACAATGATATTTCTTATGTTTAGATAACAGCCTCTGGAAGTTTCTTTCTTTTTTTAGTGGAAGTTTCATTTTTTAAAACCCACAATGGTGACTTTTAGATACTATCTCAAATCATATTAGAGTTTGAAAAAGAAAAAACAAAATTTGGTGCTATGAGAAGGAAGAAAAGGGAATATACATTGGCAAAAACACTGAAATTGTTATCATTCACAGGTAACAGTACTATTTCAAAAATCATTAAAGATATGACATACCAATAAAGATAACTCATAAGCAAACTTAAGATGTCAGGTTTCAAGATGAATATTCAAAAAATCTATTTAAAATATAAACAAACTACAGATAAACAGAAATTTTAATTTAAAAATAGCATTTAACAGAATTAAATATTAAATTGTTAAAAAATATGAAGGCAAAGTGAAAGATGTCTAACCCAAAAATTTCAAAATTAACACTCTGAATAAATTGAAAGCTATATCAAATTTTTGGATTTTACTATTGACTTTGGTAAAAATTGCAATTCTTCCATATATGGAATCACAATCAAATTATTTTGTGATAAAATTGACAAGCTGATCCTAAAATGTATTCAGAAGTTTAAAGGCCAGAGAATGGGACAGGCACTATTGAAGAAAAATAGAAATGATTTGGAGGACTTACAAGACCACACATCAAGAGCTATTCCAAAGTTTTAATAACTAAGGCAGTGTTGTATTGGCCAAAGCACAATCAAAAAATTAGCAAAGTGAATTCCAGAAGCAAGTCTACATATATAAACATAATTTACAGAAAGATGTTACTGCAATGAAAAAGAGAAGGTATGGCAGTCATTTTAGTAATTGGTGATGGATCTGTTAAAAATTCAAGAAGAGGGCTGGGGTTGTGGCTCAGGGGCAGAGTGCTTGCCTCGCATATGTGAGGAACTGGGTTCCATCTTCAGCACCACGTAAAAAATAAGTAAACAAAATAAAGATATTGTATCCATCTATAAAAAATATATATTTAAAAAGAATTCAAGAAGACATTTTTTCTGGACTCTTATCTGACATACACATACACACATACACACATACACAAACACACACACAAACACATACACAAATGCTAGATTGATTAAAGATCTAAATTTGAAAAAAAATACAATAATAATGTTCTTAGAGGAAAAACAGAAAGATGTTTTCCTGACTCCCTTTGAAGCAGGAAGGAATTTTTAAATAGAATATGAAATGTACTGGCCACTGAAAAATTGACAAAATGGACTACATTAAAATTAGGAACCATTTTTTCATCAAATATTGACCATTAAGAGAGTTAAAAGACAACCCACAGAATAAAATAAGGTATATGTCTTTAAAAACAAAAGATTTGTGTCCAGAGTACATAAATAACTACAGAGCATAAGCAAAAGTAGCCCAGTAAAAAAAAAAAAACTGGACAAAAATTGAAACATTACAATATGATCATCCTTCATGATTAATGAAATTATTCATCTTTTCTCAGGCTTATTGAAGGATGTGAAAATTATAACTACAGAATTGTTACATTGTTGAAGGAGAAAAACATCAAGAGTTGTTAGGACACATAGCAACTGAACTCTTACATACTGTTACAGGAAATGTAAATTGTCATAGATATTTTGAAAAGCTATTTTGCAATATCAGCTAAACCTAAACATGTACATATCCCTATGAATGGAAAATTCCATTTCTTGGTATAGAACCAATGAAATCCTTCCACATATTCACCAAAAGACACATAATATACTGTTCATTGCAGCACTATTAAAATGCTTCTCATATGCAAACTCACAAACGCCTATCAAAAGTAGACAGTATAAAAATATTGAGGTGTATTCACACAATGGAATACCATATAGCAAAAGGCATGAAAGATCTTTAACTTCTCCCAACAACAGGATGAATCTCATAAAAATAATGTTGAGCTTAAGATTTATTTAGTTCAACTCCAAATGTATAAATTTGAAAACAGATGAAGTATATAATATTTTCCATAAAAATATTAATAGTGCTACTATGAACATTCTAGTATATGTCAGTAGGAGAATGGTTAAAAGACTGTGGTATACTCATTCAATGGAACATCCCTCAACAACACAAATCATTTAATACTGTATACATAACACTATTGACAAATCTGAAAACCATGCTGGGTGAGATTTTACAAAGTATGATTTCATTTATACAAAGTTATGCAACAAGCAAAACAAAGAAAGCTATAGTGGAGATGGAGGGAATACAAGGGGGAGTAACTACTGAGGGATATCAGGAGAGAACTTTCTGTGGTGATGGTAACATCCCACATCTCGACAGATATTTGGGTTACAGGGGTGTAGTCAATGTCTCAACAAGTTGTCCTAAAAGTGTGTGAACTGTAAAACTTTTTATATTTGCATTGTATGTAAGTTTAATATCTAAAGACAAAAATTATGATCAAACATTCAGCTCTTGCTAAAGCTATGTGTGATGAGAAGTTTATAGAAACGTGAAATGGCTTCTGGAATTTACTTTCAAATGCATTAAAATAAGGTGATTGATGGATAAAGTATAAGACATACTAATATAGATGTAAAAACAAAGCAAAATATTAAGGGTGGCATGTAAGTGGGAAATTCTTTCCATTTTTTTTCTGTATGTTTGAAAATTTAAATATTAGATTACTGGAAAGAAAATCCATTTTTCACTTCCTAAAGGAACTATTAAAAACAGGACTCCTAATAAAAATGAAGCAATTGTCCTAAGTTAGCAGCCAACATCATGCTCTATATTTTACATGTAAAAAATTTCCATTGAATTCAAGCATAAATAAAGGTTGCTAACCATCAGCACTTAATTTATATTACTCTGGAAGAACTGGAATGTGCAGCTGGACATATGAATGATGAGACAGACATAAGCATTAATACAAAGCAAAATCATTATTTGTCAGGGATATAATTGAAAAACTAATAAAGAACTACAATTTTTTTTTTCTAGAAACAATGAAAATATTCAGTTGGTTAATTATATAATAAATATAATAGAAATATGTAAAAATGATTTAAAAATATTTAAATTTAAAGTAATACATATAAAATAACTATTAGTAAGAAAGGAAGTATCATAATAAAAGAAGCATTGGTTAGAAAATATAATAAATTATATTTACACTAGAAGCTAAAAATATGAAATACATAAGGAAAAGTTCATTATTCATATCAAAGAAAATTTAGAGAAACATAAAATTCAATTAAGGCATACACATGTATATGTCCATATTCATATATTTATTAATATATAGAGATATATTAGATATATAATTGAAATGGAGAGATGTTCTGTTGTTAGAATAAGAAGAATCAAAACCATTAAGCTGTCAATATTATTTAATTTAACCCCCCCAATTTAGTGTGGTTTTAATTAATAATGTTATAGGATGTTCTGGGATATAGAAAGTAGAAAACAGGGTAAAGAAATAAAATTTAAATATATAAGGCCTTCTTGACAAAGTCACATTTCAACTAAGCAGGGTTCAGAGTTGATATTGTCATGGAAGCCACACACGTTCACTGACACCTCTGTTGCCAGTGTCACAGTGCCAGAAGGCTCTTGTTAAAACAGTTCACCTTGTTCTAGAAGTGGCTCCATGGTTTGTTTGTATGTGGTTGATAGTCTCATTCTCAAGGAGGATGTAGGCTAGCCTACCAACATTTATTTATTTATTTATTTTTATTTTTATTTTTTTTATTGATTATTCAAAACATTGCAAAGATTGCAGAATCACATCGGTTACACATCCACATTTTTACATGATGCCATAATAGTAACTGTTGTAGTCTGCTACCTTTCCTACATTTAACCTTTACACAAGAGTACACATTGGAACCACACTTACAAAGCATTTAACATTGGTAAATTCCCTCCACTTTGGGTTTTGGATTTTATCTCCTCCAATACTTCTCTTTTTCTATTCTGCTTTCCTCACTTCCTCAGTGTTCCTGTAGATATCATTAAGGCAAAAAAAAAAAAAAGAAAAGAAAGAACTCCAAGCAAATTGCAGACCCATAAGCCACTTCACACCACTCTCTCCACACTTAACATCTCTTTTAAATAAAACCCAATGGTCCCAGCGGGGACCTCATTTCTCTGACCTCTGTCACCGCCTGTCCAGGTGCGCAGTCTATCCTTTCCGACTGAGAGATCTCTGGGCACACTGGAATAAATGAAGAATCTGCACAGAAATTAAAGGACAAAGTTGAATATTTGTAGTCTGTTCACAGCTCCAAGAAAGGTGGCATAATTACAAACTTTCAGTCAATTCTTCCGTCAATAACGTCATTGGTAGCTGGTATCTTTGTTTACATACAATGTTTAACAATTCTCCAAGTGCTAAAAATACTTGTCTTCTTTTTTCTCTTTTGTTGTTGTTGGTTTGATTGTTAGATTTATAATCATGTACCATGAAATTGTCTGTTTTAAAGCATACAATTCAATAGTCTTTTAATATCTTACAAAGTCCTGCCACCAACAAGCTCTATCTAATTATAGAACATGTTCATTGTCCTGGAGGAGTCACCCCATGAGGGATGGCTTTCCATGCCCCTTTCTCCCAGTCCCTGGAAAACACTTGCCAATTCTCTCTCTGTGGATTTGCCTATTCTGAGAATTTTACACAAAGGAAATCATAAAGCAAGGGCCTTTTGTTCTTGGCTTCTTTCATTTGGTGTAATGTTCAGAGTTCTTCCATGTTATAGCAAATAGCAGTGTTTTATTTATTTTCACAGATAAATCATACTCCACTAAGTAGATATAACACATTTCATTTTGTTTCTCTAGACATCAATTGATATGATGTTGTTGTTTCTACTTTTTTACTATATATACATGTATTTATTTCTGCTATAAATGTTCATGCAAAAGTATGTGAACATATTTCCAATTCTCTTGGTTACATACCTAAAAGTGAAGTTTGTAAATCTTATGTTTAACTCTCTCCTTAACTTTTTGAGAAACTTCCAAACTTCTATTCAAAGTGGCTCCTAAGAGTGATGTATGAGGATTACTACTTCTCTGTGACCTTAAAAGTAATTGTTATTAATTTTTTATTATAATCATCCTGGTATATGTGAAATGAAATATCATGTTTTAACTTATGTTTTCCAAATAACTGATGGTGTCAAATATTCTTTATGGTCATTTGTAGATCTTTTGTAAAATATATATATATTAAATCTTTTGTTCATTTAACATTTTTTTCTTTTAGCTTTGAATTGTAGAATTTTTTTATGTATCCCTGATGTTAGGCCCTTATCAGATATTTCATATGCAAATGCATCTGATTCTATAGGTTATTTTTTCATTTTCTTTATACTGTCATTTGAAGCATAAAAGTTTTCATGTATCATGAAGTCCAGTTTGCCTATTTTTTGTTTTGTTACTGTGCTTTATATATCATCTATCAAACTGTTGCCTAATCCAAGGACACAAACATTCAGACCCATGTCTTCTGTTTAAAGATTTGTAGTTTTGGGTCTTACATTTATGTCTTTGATCCATATTTAGTCAACTTTCATGTATACTATGAGGTAGAAATCCAACCTCCTATTTTAACATATGAATATACAAATGTGCTACACCTTTGTTTTTATCATTTGTTTGTTGGATTACATTTGGTTTTGTTCAACTCACTTCTAATAAACTTTGATGTAGACAGGGAAGATATTATTGGCCCCTTAAGACATATATATACAACTGCTCAAATTTACTCATATTCTAGGCTTTATCCACTTTGTTTACCCTTCTCCTACACAACAACAAGCTAAGTAGGACTGGGTCTGTGGGCTCCATGAACCAGTCAGAGCACTGGATCTCCCCTGAACCTTCAGGCCACGGAAGTTACTATGGGTGTCAACTACCTTTCCACTATCCCTATTGACTCATGCACTAGTGTGTGCATGTCTGTTTTAAAAATAGATTAAAGACAACATAAGGCCCAGAACCATAAAATTCCTTGAATAAAACATGTGGAAAGTTGCTTAACACTGTATGACCAAGAATAAAAAAGCAACAAAAGCAAAAATAGTCAACCAGGACTGAGCCAAACTAAAGCACTAATCAGCACAGTGAAGAGGTCACCCAAGCAATGGGAGAACGTATTAATAAGCCATATATCCAACGAGAAGTCAATTTCCAAATGACAAAAGAAATTCAAAAAACTCAATGGCACGAATGGCTTAGAAACTTGAACAGATATTTATCCAAAGAATACATACAAATAAATGGCCAACAGGCATGTGAAAAGATGCTCGACATTCCTAATCATCTGGTAAATGCAAATTAAACTGTAAGGAGATATTACCTCACACTTGTTAAGATGGTGATTATCAAAACAGAACAGAGGACAACAACTTTTGGTTAGCATGTGAAGATACGGAAACCCTGGTCCACCATTGCTGGGAATGCAAGGAGGTACAGTTGCTATGAAAAACAGGATGGAGATTCCTAGAAAATTAAAAACTAAAGCTACCATAGGAATCTTTATTCCCACTCCTGAGTCTTCATCCAAAAGACTTGAGTCAGGAATTTGGAGATATATCAGCACTTCCATGTTATTGCAACATTATTCACAATAGCCATCATTTGTAAACAACCTAAGTGTCCACTGAAGTACAAATGGGTAAAGAAGATGTGGCAGAATATTATTGAGCCTTAAAAGGAAATCCTGTAATATGCAACAACATGGATGAAAGTTGAGGACTTTATCTAAGGAAATAAGCCAATCACAGAAGGACAAACACTGCATTATCCTATGTGAAATATTTAAAATAGTCAAACTCATAGAAGCAAAAAATAGAATGGTGTTTGACACACATTAGGGGAAAGGAAATCACATTAATAAATATGTGTAACATTTTAGTTGTACAGGGTAAGTTTTAGAGATCAGATACAATATACTCTTTTGTAGGCTTAAAAAATTTGCTAAGAATGTAGATTGCATTTTTCATCCTTTAATTATAGCAAATGGAGCTTGGAAGACACTGAAAATCATTAACATTTAAGATTTAGTAGCCAAAAAAAAAAGACTTATCTTGGAGATTGACTTCAATTAATTGTGCCTAAGTGTTTTGAATGCTGCAATGTGGAGAAGGAATAGAAGGATCTCTTTGGTACCCAAGGGTGACCTCCTTTACCCCTCTTTCCAACCCAGGAGCCACCAGATTTCCTTTACCTGAAGGTTTCTCCAACACAAGCAGCAGCAAGAGGATATCTACAGCCAATACAATTAGGAAGAAGACGAACAGAAGGACTTCCAATGTACTGAGCTTCCTTGCCATCTAGATGGACACAGATAACTGGATTAAAGCAAAACGCAGAGCCCTGAAAGAACAGATGGGTGCTTGTGATTAGAATGTGAACTTGTCTGCGAGACAACCTTGATTACCAGCATTGAACTGTACGTACTCAGAGAAGGTTTGTTTCTGCTCTTCATGGTGTCTCCACCTAACTCTACTCTGTGCACTTTTCAGTGTAGATATTGAGGTTGTTCAGGGAAAAGTATATATCAGACATAAAGAACTAGAGAGAGAGAAAGAGAGGAGCCACATCCTGAAGATAGAGGATGAGGGGTTGCGATGGCTCACAAAGCCCTTTCAGATGTCACTTTGACCTTCGTGCGCACTCTGCACAGTACATTAGAGGGTACGCTTAGAGAGAAAGAAAATAGCAAAAGCCAAATCCACATCTTCTTCCGATCCCCATGGCATAATGCTGAGATGTTTAACTACTTAGAGGTTACTGGTCCTTTTAAGAATCTGGTGACAAAAATAAACCTGATCCCAATCTCCAACAGAATGCTCACCTGCATGCGCATGGCACACAAACTCATACAAATTTATTGATCTCAGATATCCTGAAGCCCATGCATTGATCCCAGGGTGAAGATGGAGAACTGGGAATCAGAGGGCATGCATGCTTGCTCTGTTCTTTTACTAACAGGTGGGCTGCTCGCCTGTTGGGGCGTGTTTCTTCAGCTACAGAGGTGAGATCAGATTGTGCGTGCACTCCCATGTGAATCCCTGTCATGTGCCTCACATTTCAGGACAGTGTCTAGCTTCAACGACCTTCATGCTTGCTTGGCTTCCATCAACCAGACATCTCGACTCTACCCTAGAATTTCCACCGCTCAGTATTGTTCCACTTTTGAAATCCTTCACCGCTTTCCATTTACTGGTCGCAAGCTTGTGTACTTTGCTCTCCCACTGACTTTCTTCATTTTTCTCTACTCTTTGATCCCATGGAGGCCTCTGTTCTTTTTCCACTTCCCTCTGTTCTCTGAGCCCTTTCTGACCACCGGAGCTAGGCCTCAATATCACTATTCAACTGGCCATTTGCTCTCATCTTTCTTATCCCCTCATTTGCTAACTGAATCTGCATCACGAAACCATCCAGCCAAAAGCTCTGCCTCTGTGCTGATGCACTGGCTCAACATAGATACCAGTAGGGCTTTTAATCTCCCCCCAAATAACTGGGCCTGCAGACCCACTGACAATCTTACCAGCTCCTCTCATTTTCACAGGAACAATTTTAAAAATTGATCCTTTTCTCCAAGTCCAATTTCATTCAACTACACTCTTATTCTTATCCAATATCATCTCTAATTTGGAAGAGAAAGTAACTGTTTTACAGACGCTATCTTATCTCCTTGTTTCTCAGCTCAAGCTTTGGTACGAAAAAAATTATGCATAACTATAGGCAAAATTTGTATGTTTTCCCTTCTGTTCTCCATAGCAGAGTTTTTCCTGTTCTTGCCTGAGCATAATCCTTGTACCCATCCTCCAGCTTTCCTAGCCGCTGAATTTCTCCAAAATTTTGTTTCACCAATTATCCCTCCTCTTTCTTACATGGTCAACCTCTGCCTCCAAACTTGATTTTACCCCTCATAGATGTCTTCTTAGTTATCCTTAACTGTTGATGATTCTGCGTTATTCTATTATTCTCTAAGTACCATTTTAACTTTCTTTTACTTTTGTAGCTAAGCTTCTAAAAAGATAATTATACACTGTCTTGACTAGCTTCCTCATGCATTACTGGAATGAGTGTATTTGCTGCATTCCACTGAAACTGCTCTTGCCAAGGCCACCAGGGACTTAACCCCTAAATACAACAGGCTCTGTCTTAATCATCTACCACTATCAACCACTCCCTCCTCCTCGAAACTCTCTACCTGTCCATATCCCTGATATCATTCAGTCCTGGTTTTCTACCTCTAGTTCGGATTTCTTTCCAATTTTCTTTGATTCTTCTGTTACATGTGGATATTCTTCGTATTTTCACAGAAGTCCCCTTTCAAAACTGCCTGTTGTCCTTGAGCCATCCCCACAACTCATGTGACTTTATATATCTGACAACAATCCAGCCTATATTCGCAGACCAAAGATTTAGATTCACATATTCATATGGCCTGTTGGTGTCTCATGTGAGCATCCAAAAGATTCAACCAAAATGAACCTCTTCGGACACAAAAGCATTCATCCTCAACCTTAGTCCCAACTTTTTTCAAGTGGGTTGCACTTCAAATAATTAATAGCTTGTAGAACAGAACCAAAATTTCTTTTTTTTTTTTAAAAAAAGTAACAATCTGGGGATCTTTTTGGCTCCTCTCTTACCAGTTACCAGTTCAGGCAGAATACTTTTCCAACATCTTTGGTTCATTTCCCCATTGACCCAACATAAGCAAGGTCATTAGTATCTTCTATATTCAAGTATTAATTGTTCTCTAGATAAGATATAAACCTCTAACCTTGGGACCAAAGTCCTCATGACACCTCCTCTATCTAGGCTCTTTTTTCTGTGTGTGCAAATAATTTTCTGTCTTTTGCTTTTGTCTTTACTTCTCTTCTTACGTTACATTTCCCTGAAACTATGCTCCTCTCTAGCCCAATGCCAAGACCATTCTACAACTATTTTCATTTAAATTCAATTTGTCATTGAGCAGTCTTTATGATAATGTGTAGTTATCCAAGAAAAAAATGTTCTTTAAACTGAAATTGGGGTGAAGAGCAAGAATAAACAGATAATTGGCCAAGAGGTATTTGCAGAGATTCCTCAGCTCTTGGAGAAACTGGGCCTGGGAATTGAGGCTTTTTAACTATTTTATTCTAATAACCTAAATCTGTCAGGTGTCTCTCTTTGAGTGTAAATTATTCAAAATATTTGCCAATAAAATATAGAGCATGCTACATTCTTATTGTTATAGTCCCATAAAACACCTACATCAAAGTTCATAAGGCAGGTATTACCATTCCCATTTTATAAATGGATATTAAAGAATTTTGTCCCACCATGATTAGTGGTAGAACTAAGGCAAACTAATAATCAGAGATTTCAAAAAGTATTTGCATAATCTCTCCAAAGTATCTTTCAGACTTCAGAGCCTAAAGACCCAGAGGGTAAATCTCCAATAGTGGCATTTCAGACACTGAAAGAAGTTGGAGAGACTCACTCTAAATATACAGAGACCATAATTCCATATCACAGCAAACAGTTGGTCATCAATTATCATCTATTTTCCAGCATTGTTCCCTCTATAGGGAGATGGTTTTTCCCAGCTTCTATAGACCAGAAGCAAGTACTTCTTCTTACTGCTTCTTAGTCTTTTTGAGGGAGCAGGCTCAACACAGTAGTTCAGCAAATTCAGAAACACTCTGGGGACAATCACAGTCATTTTCTTGCCATAGGAGCTATTGTCACCCAGGCAGAGGGTCAGAGTGGGGATTACTAAAGGTAGAATTCTCCCTACTTAGAAATCCTTTCTGCTCAAAGCTGGGGCACATTTAGCTTCCCATGAATCCATGCCACCTTCTAGATTCCAGAGGATCACATCTGTTCTTGCATGGTTCTCCCAGTGAGAGAGGGACTTCCTACTCTAGACCCTCCCCATCTGTATTCTCTCTCTCTCTCTCTCTCTCTCTCTCTCTCTCTCTCTTTCCCCCCCCCTCGCCTTTACCTCTCTATGTAAGATCTCATCTTCATACCTCACCTACTATGGAAAATGAGGAAAACACCAGGTCCAGAAGAAAAGTGAAGGCATATATATCACTTAACAAGCCAGGGCAGAGGAAAATCTACAAAAAGAAAGGGACCTCTTTTTCCTCCTTGAGATCCTATGAGAAAGAAATTCCTTTCCCAAAGCACCACCTGCTTGGGCAAAAGTACTCACCTCATAGCCTTGTCTCTTTCCTTACTGTAGCTCTCACTGAGGCCTGGTGATTCATGAGGAGCACTGAGCAAAGGTGACCGGGTTGATGGAGAGAGCTTCTGCCAGGATAGATTTACTGCCTCATAAAGTTGACCCAGTGGGAGGAGGGGAGTGCATTTAATAACAGACCATAAAACAGTCCTTGCTCTCCCTGGGACAAGGGAGAATGCTTTGTTAATGGAAGGGGAAGGCTGTTTTGGTTTGGGTTTTACTCTAATAGATTTCCCTCAGCATTCCTGTCCATATCTGATTACTTTACTTGTCATAAGCTGTGTTTCCTTCTCTGCTCATGTGGCCTGAAGAGCTCCAGAGCTAGGGTCTTGTTCGTGTTTCACTCTGCCCCATACCCATACATAGTTCTTAAATATATACCTATTTGTTGAATAAGGGTGGGAAAAAATGAATAGCTCTTGGTTTGTCATTGTTTATTTCTCCATTTCATCCTCCATTATGCTTATATCAACTTATCTTGTCATTAATTATATACATTTTCCCCCAAGTTATTCCAAATACGCAAAGCATCATTAAAGTATAAATTAATGCAACCGTTAAGTGGAAAGGCACCTCTAAGAAGATATTTGTTGTGACCTCTGACTGCTCAGAACCTTAAAAAAATTAAGGAATTTCTCACTTTAACAATTTTGCCTTCCCTAGAAGATTAGGAACTACCTTTCACAGTCTCCCTTTCAGCCCTTGTATAGGCAAGTGACCTGGGCTCAGAAGTCGCTGCCTTTAAGTGGTCTCGTCCAGAAGAAAGTGTTAAAGGTGGTACCATCTGAAAGGGAAATGTCAGGATGGAGGGGAGATGTCATGTTTTAGGGGAAGTAAGGGCCAGGGACCTAGGGACATCCTCTCTATGATGAGTATTGGAAGCTGCAGGCTGTGGCAGTCCAATCTCCCACAGTGTCCGTGGCATTGTCTCTGTATGATAGCCCACAAGCTTCACTCTTTGGCCCTCCTGAAGTTTAAATTACTAACATCTTTATAATTTTTCTGTTCAGGTGGGTTTTGTTTTTATTGATATAATTCACAAAGCATAAAACTCATCCTTTTCAGGTTACAATTCAGTGGCTTTTACTGCATTTTCAAAGT